ATAACAAAGCTCCTTGAAGGGGTTGGCCATACGCTTACTCTTTCCACTCCCCGGTTTCTGTTTCTTATTGAACCTGCTCTAATTAGGCTTCCTTCTCCACCCCTTCCCATCATTTTCATAAAAGCCCACTGTGACTTCTGCTGCGCCATCCTGTGTGAAGGATTTCTCAGTAACACTTGACGTGGTTGACCGTCCCTTTTCCGTTGGCTCCGAGATGAGCACGTTGTCTTGGTTTCCTCCTCTGTCCCCCTGCCTCCTCCTCACACTGCTTTATTGGGCCCTTCCCCTGTGCACTTTGCCGGCTCTCCATCCTTGACCAGTCTTCACGTCGCTAAATATGTCATTCCCTTAATTTCATCTCGTACCATGGTGTGATGGTTAATTTTATGTGTCACAGCGGCACCCGGTCGCTTGGTCAAATACTAGTCCAGATATTGCCTTGAAGGAAATTTCTAGAAATTATCACCATGAAATCAATAGACTTTGAGTAATACAGATTGCCCTTCATAATGTGAATGGGTTTCAGCCAATGAGTTGAAGGCCTTAAGAGAAAGACAGGCCCTCTCTGGTGGTGTAACGGGTTAAAGCACAGCACTATGAAGCTCTCATACTTCAGCCACTGCACCTCCCCGGCCAGGGTGGTGACCCATATGGCACAGCAGTCCTCTCCTGTTCTGCCCACTACTCCCCCTAGCAGTGTTTTTCAGTCAGTCTGCATGTTCTGCTCCCCACTCTGTCTCTGATGAATCCTCTTACCACCCCCCCACCTCTGGCCTGTACCCAAGCTCTTGTATGCATAAATAATTCTTAAAAGAAAAAAGAGAGAGAGAGAGAGAGAAAAGGTTGAGATGTCCTGAAGTGGAAGAAACTGTGTCTGCAGACTCAGCACTCAATGGCAAGGACTCTGGAATTTCCAGTCCACTGGCTTGGCCTGTAGGTTTCCAGTCTGCAAACCTGCACCATGTGAGAGCTGATTCCTTAAACCAAGCCTCTCTCTACCTACCTCTGCAGCTATACATCTACTGATTTTCTTTCTGTGGGACTCTGGGACCAATATTCATGGCATTCACTATCTTTTATATTTGGCTTTCAACACTTCCTTCCTAGCCCTGACTTCTTCCCCAAATGCCAGATTTGCGTATCTCGCTACCAACCCCACATGTCCATTTGGATCATCCATAGTTCTCTCAAATCACACTGTGAATTTTTCTCATAAGATAGCTTTCCATCTCCCCCCTTCCTACCTTTCTCCCTCCTCCCTGAGTGCTCCCCCTTTTCATATAAGACTACTGCCCTTTGCCCAGCTGCTCGGGCCAAAACCCAGGTGGCATCATTGACCCTTCTGTTTCCTTTATATCCCCCACCTCATCCATCTATCAAGCTTCATAGCTTTACCTTTAAATACACCCCGCCCTTTTCATAGAGATAACATGAATCTACACCACTCTGTGGGTTTCCACAATTGTATACTTCACACAGCACCCAACACCAACAACCCCCTCGCCACCAGCCACCAGGCTGTCACAGCTGTCCACTCCTGCCCTGGTTACCACCACGGTGTCAGACTCTGGGGTCTGTTTTTGTTGTGCTTGGTTGCCTTTGCTTTTCTTTCTGTTCCACGAATGAGTGACATCATCTGGCGTGTGTCTTCCTTTTGACTTAGTTCGTTTAGCATGATTCCCTCAAAGTCCAGCCATGTTATCCAAAATGGCAAGATTTCCTCTTTAGGCACCTCGCTTTACCTCGGGAACACAAGCCTTCATCACCTCAGCTCTCCACAGGGACTTCCTACCTGGTCTACACTCCTCTCCCCTAAGTCCCTACCCGCTACAACAGAGCCTCCTTCTAAGATATAAATCAGGTCATTGCTCTCTCCTCTCTTGACACTTTGGCTTCCTAACACATTCATTTAGCATGAAATCCAGAGTCCTCTCTATGGTTTTGGGTTTGAACCTGGCCACTCCCCTCATTTTGTCACCTACCACTTTCTTTCCTTGCTCACTGGTTCCTGTATAAATCCTTGGACAGCAGCTTCTCACCTGGGGCTTTATTATTCTTTTCTGTTCCTCTGCTTAAAAAGAAAGATCTCTCCTGGCCCTCCCTGGTGGCGCAGCGGGTTAAAGCACAGCACTGAGAATCTAAAGCCGCTTCCGCATGAGTTCGATTCCCGCCTGCCCCGGAGGTGACCACATGGCGCGGCAGACCTCTCCTGACCCGCCCGCTGCTCCCCTCAGCAGTGTACTTCGTCGATCTGCCTGTTCTGCTCCCCACTCTGTCTCTGGTGAATCCTCTCGCCCTCCGCATCTCTGGCCTGTACCCCAGCTCTATATGAATAAATAAATCTTTAAAAAAAAAAAAAAAAGAAAGATCTCTCCAACCTCACACTTCTTATGGCTCATCCTCCATTTTGCCCTTGTCTCTGCTTAAGGGTCATCTTCTCAGTGCATTCCAGACCTTTCTACCCTACTCATCCTTCTTCAGGGTACAAACGCTTTCAAAATAGGGTTGGTTTGTTTTATTTTTCTGTGAGGGGAGCGGACGATTATGCTTTAGGGTGGGCCTTGCTAAGTTAGTACAATTAAAATGTTTGGGATTTATTTTGAGGGACCTAGAGAATTACTGACGAATTAGCCTAAGAGATTTGAGTGTCAAAAAGGCTGTGTCACTCCCTGGGGTGGGTGGGTGTGGTGTGTGTGAGAAGGCGGGAGGAAGGCTGCAGGAGGAACATGGGCTTACTGCAGTGGGACCCTTGATCAAACACCTATCTAGATCTTCTATACAGCTGATGGAGCAGGGGTGCACACTGCTAATCAGAAATCCAGGTGTCACGCTTGACTCCTGAAGCAGCCATCCCTTCACATACATCCACGGGGAGTACTCCCAGTCCTCATCCTATAATCTGTCCCAGCTCAAGACTTTTGTGTCACCCCTCCATAAATGAGAGTTGTGTGCCCTTGGGCTCAACCAGCCATCAGCTGTGGTTGGATGAACCCGTGGACATGGATAGGGGAAAAAAAAATTCTCCAAGGGGACAGAAGAAAAATACCAGTCAATGTGTCTTGTTCAACGGAAAACTGTAGTGTGCTTAGAGATCAGCTCAGGAACACAGAGAGGCATTTCCAGTATTTTCTGAGAGCTATAAACAGTAGGTTCTGGGGAGACAAGATGAATCAAACAAGGGTTTAGCTCCCCAAAGCTCTCTTGGATTTAGATGATTTATAATAGGTTTTAGGCATCTGGGACATAGAATAGGGAAGGAGTGGATGATAAACACTCCTTGGTGGGAACCAGGGAAGCCCTTCTAGAGGAGGTGACATTTCAGAGTAGCTTTGAAAACTCTTTGGAAGATAGTTTTGGGCAGGCAGAATAATACGAGCCCAGTCAAGAGATGTGAGATGTATGACTAGACCAAATGCTGAGTGATGAGGAATGATGGAGATGAGGCTCTTCTTCCCTCAGTGACCAACTAAACAGAACCATGGAGTTTCTGTTTTGTAAGGAGGGTGAGCTATCGAGCCCCCTAACAGCAGCAAGAAAGGTTTGAAAGGTGGTGATTTTATTTTTTTAACTCAAAACAATAATTGCATGGAGCTACTGGAGAGATTTGTGCTATATTTTGCTTACTTAAGCACAGCAAGCAAGGCCTTTTCTGGTACTCTGCTAGAAAATATTAACTATGGTAAGTAACTCTGACCAGTCATACAAAGCTCCTAGGAAATCAGCCCTTATCATTTGTGCTTCGTATATTATTTCAATGTTCCTTTGTATCCTAAAACATACTTTGGAAAGGAACTGTAGTTTGTATTTTTATGAATGAGGCTTTTACTGCTTTGGTTCATAGGTCCTTCTTATATAGATGAAGTGTGAAAAGGCTTGTCAGATGGTTGAAACAGCTGCCTAGAGTAAATGGGAAAGTTAGCCCGGGTTCTTTCCCTCACAGTTTTCACTCTTTGCTCCTTAAAACTCATTGTTTTTTGAATACCTGTGCGCTAGATCCACCCTCTGTTGTAAGGATTCCCAAATCAGGTGAGGCACAGATACATGTAAATCACCAGCAGATTTAGCAGGTGCCACTTGTGTGTGTGCAAGAATTCGTGCAAGTGTGTGTGTGCATTCAGGCTACCGAGCCTCTCACTTGGGACTCCGAAGGGGCTCAAAACCCCTTGGGGGTGCGGTTCCCTGCCAGTTGGAAGGTGAGCAGGTAGGGCTTCTCAGAGCCCGGGAAAACTGAGTGCTGCAGTCCTGCAGTATTCAGAGGAAGGAGGCAAGATGCTTGTTTACTCTGCAAATATTTTTATCTGCCATCTAGTGCCAGGTGCTGAGTAAGAGCCGGTAGAGAGGCTGAAAGCCTGGCTCACCCCAGGGCGCAGGGGGCTCCACCAGGCTGGAGTTAAACCCACGCTCAGTTTTCCTTAAAACAAACAGGACCAAGCCCTAGTGGGCCAAGGAGGAAGTCCCATGGGGGAAGTTAAGCGCTGGTGAGACTCTTGTCACTTCTTTCCAGGGCCAGTCAGGGTGGATTAGGTGCTTCTTTGAAAAGCCTGAAACCTCCTTGAGGAATTGCCAGACTGACTAATCCATTACCTTAGGCCAGGGGCTGCACATTTTGCAGTTCACAGGAACCCCCAGGCCACACCCATACCGATTACTCCAGACAGTCTGGGTGAGAGCCAGGCGTCAGTATTTAAAAAATCTTCTCCCGAAGACCAAGGCCAGCCAGGAGCTGGAGTCATCGCCGTGGGGCACCGTCCAGGACCATCCATTAAAACGCACTCTCCTTTCCGAGGTGGATGCACACATTCCTGCACTTGTTTTTGCTCCTTTTGGGGGTTGGGGGCGCTGTGAGCAGGAAGGGGATGTGCTGTCGCCCAATTGGGAGCTCCGGCTTTGCTCAGCCCTTCAGCGTAGGTTGCCAGGGCTGCACGAGGAGTGGATTTTTGCTTTGTCATTCTGACTCTGGCCGTTTGCCTGCCCGCTCGGAGACGGGCGGGGCTTCTCGCAGCCACTGAGAACCCGCGACCCTTGCTCCTGCACTGCCGCAGTCCCGCCTCGACTCGGCGCGGAAGGCGGGGCGGGGGGGCGAAAGAAGAGGAGCCTGAGGTCGGAGAGCTCGCCTCGGAGTAAGCAGCGGGTGACTCGCGCGCGGAGAGACCCCCCGAGCCCCCCGCTGCGAGCCCTGGGGCGGGGCGGGGGGACGCGCGGGAGGGAGAGGCGTTCGGCCGGGCTGCGCCGGCCTGGGGCTCCTCTGGGGCGCGTGAGCCCTGGAGTTTCTTGGCGGAGTTCATTATTCCGCCTCAGTGGGTTAAAGCTGAGTTGGTGGGTGAGACTGGCCTCCTGTCAGCTGATGCTTTCCGTCCGCTTGCTCTTCTTTGTAGAGACGCTTTGCAGGCCATCTGGAAAATGGGTTTGTGTCCTTTCTTGAAATGTGGGTAACAACGTGATACATATATTGACGCATCCCTCTGTAGCTTGGTGTGAGAACAGCACAATGTAAGGATGTGTTTCAGGGAAATGTCACAGCGACGAATCTAGGGGGTGGCAGATCACGTGTGTCCCCAAGCTGACAAGCCGGGGAAACTGAGGCTCAGAACCGTGCGTCTCGCCCCCGGCTGTTAAGCCCTACGGGCAAGCGTGGAACCCCGAGCTTATCTCTGTGTTATCTGGCAGTAGTTAAAGAGGGCAGCGCTCACGCCGCTACCGCTACCATTTCTGTGCCTCAGTTTCCCTCCCCGTGAGATGGACCTGATCGGAGCTACTTCAAAAGGGTAGTTGTGAAGATTAAGTATTAATCTGTGCAAAGCACGACAGAAGTATTCGCTGCATTATCGCCATTGCTATCAAACAGCTATAGGGTGTTGGTGTGGTTTTGCCTCATGAATGGGTCTGATGTCAGTGTAACCGGAGTCTATTTTTAATTTCCTCTCTGACTCATTGTCAACCTGAGTTCACCTGTTTGTAAAATTGGGCCATTAGCTCGCGGGATGTCACGTAGGGTGTTACTGTAGCGCTTCAGGGTAAGTAAAAGCACCCCAAGCGGGCAGGGTGGCCTTCATTTTGCCCCATGGCTTCGAATTTCAAAGAAACTGGGAAGCTGGGTTCTGGCACTCCGTAGATGCAGAGTTCAAAGGAAGGTTCAGTCGGGAGGTGCCCTATAAAAGTCGAGCTAATCGTGCCCCTGAGCCTCCTTTTGGAAACGTTTCTGGATTCCGCATTTGCCGGGCCGGGAGGTTGGTCCTCATCGCCAGGCTCGCCGCTGCCCTCGGCGAACCGGGATCGCCGGCCCT